CCCCCCAATGTTTTGAGTCATTATCCATTTGTGTTATGAAATGCCAACCAATCAGTTTGGCTGCATTTGTCTGGATCTGAGTACACAGTCTGGCTCTGATTACCTCAGAATTCATCCAGCTGCTTCTGTCCTGTGTCACATCATCAATAAACACTAGTGACCCAGTGCCACTGGCAGCCATGCATGCCCAAGCCATCATACTGCATCTACTTTTATTTTATTTTATTTTTTACAGATGATGTGGTATGCTTTGTATCATGACTGTAACACACCTTCACCATACTTTTTCTTCTGCCTTTTTATTCTTGAGACAAACATTTAAATGGTTTTTATGTGCTCTCTATCAGTTAGATATTCAATTAAGTCATCTGTAGATTGAAACCTGGTGGTTGCTGCTAAAGGCCCTGTAACACTAGACAACGTATGCCAACTTATGAAACATTTTTATGTCTAAATTGCTAATAAAAGTTATTTATTTGATCAATTTGTTCGAATTACATTATGTACACGCCAAAAAGAAGCTTCCTGTTGATTTTTTCAATTCGATCTTCAATGTAGATGTCTTTAAAATGTTCATAAGTTGTCTAGTCTGACAGGGCCTTAATCATAGCTCCAAAAATTAACCTGTAAAGGTGCCAACTTGATGACGGGAATAAATTAGGAGAATAAAAAATAGCATCAATGTAACAATTTGCAACTATTTTATCTATTTTAACTGGTGTGATATGAACTTTAAATTTTATTTCTGAATCATTTTTGCCTGTAAATATGAAAATATGTTAACTTCCTTCTTTCCTAAATCCAGTTTTCCTTCTATTCAAGTGAATACTTTGCTGTTTCTAATTTCCATCCATCCATCCATCCATCCATCCATCCATCCATCCATCCTCTATACTCGCTTCTTCCTTTCAGGGTCACAGGGGTCACTGTTGCCCATATCCAGCAGTCACAGTGTGAGGGGCGGGGTACAACCTGGACAGATTGCAAGTCCATCACAGTTTCTAATTTCTAGCTTACTAATTATAAACCACACCATTTTTATAAAGCTGTTGCTATTAAAAGAAAATTTTCACTAAACTTTATACCCAGGTAATCAGAAGAGAGAGACCAGCAAATTCCTAGCAATATTCTGAAGTCAAATGTTTTAGTCAAAAAATAGTCTGTTAAGAACAGCCTTCAAACTAAACCCAATTTATATTATAAGGTTTTTTTTTTTTTCAGATATTTTTTTTGCTATTTGCCTACTGATGGTGGTCAGAAGGTCCGGTGGCGCCTGTGTATGGCAGCCTTGCCTCTGTCAGTGTGCCCCAGGGCAGCTGTGGCTACAACTGTAGTTTGCAATCATCAGTGTGTGAATGTGTGTGTGAATGGGTGAATGTCTGTAGTGTGAAGTGCTTTGAGTGTCCTGGATGGATAAAAGGCGCTATATAAGTACAGTCCATTTACCATTTACCATTTATTTGATGAGTAGAATAAACATCTGCATCTGCAAATATTTTGTTTATTTAAAGTGAGCCTAACAGTACCCTGAAGTGTAAAAGAAATCTGAGTGTTTAGACCCTTTAAAGTTTCAGAACTCTAGTTTAAAAATTGTGTTGCACCTTGCACCACAGAAATAACATAGAAACACACTGAAGCAATGTGCCACACAAAAACACACAAATTGTAGTAATTATGGGAATTTTTTGACACTATAAGCAATTTGGGACAAAGTTTCAGGCAGTTTAACATAATACAAGCTCTGAATTCAGATCCCATAGGTTTTTATCTCCCAGTGTCATGTAAAATCAAAGTTTATAATTATTCATCTGTTCAATAAAAAAATACTGCCCAGAGGTGTTTTCCAATATATCTACCAAGTGTTGAGAAATGCCTCCATGGAATTTAATGACGCACACAAAATCACCACAAATGCACTTCAATGCTAAGAAATGTAGTAGACACCATGTTGTTCCATGAAAGTCCTAAATTACCAAATATCACAAGAAAAATACACTCGGTATTAATGCAACAGTTACACATTAAAGTACTGTGACACAAACGCACCATGATGCTAAAGCCCACAAAACCACAGTAGCTCCTGAACGCACCACGCTCCACATTACTGAAACTCTTGTATTGCTGCAATGTTTCCATACGTTGCAGCTTTGCCCAGTGTAAATGCAGGTCAAGTTTGCTGAAGCCATACCGTGTGTGTGTGTGTGTGTGTGTGTGTGTGTGTGTGTGTGTGTGTGTGTGTGTGTGTGTGTGTGTGTGTGTGT